ACAACATTTTCCACTCACCTCTGTCTGCTGGGTGGTGTTATACTGATAATTAAATAACAATTTTCCATTGAGATTACCTTTTCAATCCATTCTTTAAACTTTTAGCCCTTAAATGTTTAGTTGTGCCTCATCCAAAAGGATAGCCGCATAAATCGTAGCTTCAGAGCGGTAACTGTACCCCCAGTCAGACCATTTATTTCCTCTGCTCTACAAACATGACTTAAAATAAAAATAAAAAAACTCATGGAAAATATTTAATTGCTGTTCTAAATGCATATATATGTAAAATGCTAAAATTGGTGAACAGACTCTTGTTGGGATAAAGTGTCTGAACCTTTAACTAGAAGAGCTGATTTAGCAAATAAAGGTTTTCCATCTAATGGGAAACTCTAGACACCACCAGGTTAGCAAAAATCAGCTTAACATTTGCAGCTGTAGATATATAGTGAACTAGTTTAATTGAGTTGGAGCGAAGGAGGGAAATACACTAATGGGAAGAAGCCAAACCCCTAGCACATTCTTAAGTTCCCCTCCCCCCACTCGTCAGTTACAAAGTCCTATAGTGTTTTATCTTTGTTAGTGTCTAATGTCTCTCTCCTTCATTCCCATTTCTCTGGTCACTCTCCTAATTCAGAATCCTGTCCCCTCAGGCCATCAACTATTGTAGTGCCTCCCAGTTGGTCTCTGTAGTGTCATTCTCTCACCTCTTCTTTTCCATTGATTCACTAGATCCAAACTAAACCTTAAATTCTTTTCTGATCTCATCACTTATTTGCTTTAAAACATCCAAAGATTCCCATTGTCTAAAGCAATGTTTCTTCAAGTGTGATCCCTGGGTTGCTTGTCTCAGAATCACCTGGGGCACCCTCAGTCAAAGAAATGAAATCTCTGAGGAGTGAGGCCCAAAAATCCAAATTTTAACAAGCAACACTCCACCCCCCAGGGGATTCCTGAACATGCTAAAGATGAGGCCTGTTGGCCTGAAGCAGTGATTCTCAATCTGAACCGTGCACTAGAGTCACTTGGGAAGCTCTAAATAATTGCTGATGCCTGAACTCCATCCCTAGAGTTTCTGATTTAAATGATCTGGGATGCACCCTGGGAATCGGGGTATTTTTAAAGCTCCCCAGTGAGCATCTTCATCAAAATGGATTATATTGGGCTTCATTTAACTAAAACTTCAAAAAAGCAGTTGCTCAAAGGCACCAGGGTTGTTCTCTCGCAGAAGAGCAGCCCTGGGATGGGCAATGCAGAAGTTGTCTATCCTCTTTCTGTCGCCCATTCTTAGTTTTCCCCCATCCATCTCACTTTAGGATACAAGATGCTACAGGAGCCCCATCCATCAGCCCAAGTTCCAGACGAGAAGAAAAGTGAAGGGCAAAGGCCCCACTTCCCAGCGAGGTCAGCCCACTTGATGCAGTCCCAAACAAACCTTCCTCCCAAGCTGTGTGGCAGGGCGCCCCTAACCACAGAGAGACTGGGAAACACATTCTTTGTTGTTGCCGAAGGAGGGCTTTATTACTAAAGAAAAGGGAGAGGATGGGTACTGAGAAACCACTAACACAGCCTGTCACAGCCCCCAACCTGTATTCCTGGACTTACCTTTTACTATTGAACTTGTAAATTCTTTACCTACTCAAACTGACTGCTTTTTATTCCTCAAGTGTGTGTAACAGGATGGCCCTACCCTATTAGTCTACATCTATGGTTTCTCTCTGTAAAGGCATACTCTTTAGCTATTCAAAGCAATAATTTACTCGCCTTAATGTCAAGGTCGTACTTGCCATCTCATCATAGTCCACCATGCTCCCCACACAGAAAACCATAACAGAGGGTAGGGTCTCAAATGGAATAAGATTGTACTGCTTTTAAATGGACTCGTGAAAAAGATAAGTGGTTTAGAAAACCATGTGGGAGAGCAGGAAGTTAGGGAAGATGCCTTTGAAAGGGCTCGAATAGAATTTTCAGAAGGCCGGATGTGAAATGGGAGGGGGCCTGCAAGGATATAAGGAGTGGCACTCAAAAAATCAATTTTAGAAAATCTACCTGAGATTGACAGGGACTCTCTAACCCATAATTCCATAAATTATAAACCTATTCAACTTCTATGACAGTATTTCTATGGGGAAATATATTCATTTCCAACTCTGGAAGTCATCTCCTTTTCTGGGAACCTATTCGCAGAACACTCTTCTAGCTGCTAGAAATACAACAGTTCTGAACAAAATAGGCAAGGCTCCTGCACTGATGGTGTAGGACAGTGATGGTGAACCTTTTGAGCTCGGCGTGTCAGCATTTTGAAAACCCTAACTTAACTCTGGTGCCGTGTCACATATAGAAATTTTTGATATTTGCAACCATAGTAAAACAAAGATTTTTGATATTTATTTTATATATTTAAATGCCATTTAACAAAGAAAAATCAACCAAAAAATGAGTTCGCGTGTCACCTCTGACACGCATTGTCATAGGTTCATCATCACTGGTGTAGGAGGATTGAAAATTGCAATCGTCTGAATATTTTGTGCCCCGACCAAATTCATATGTAGAAACCCTAATGCCCAATATGATAATACTGGGAGGTTCGGCCTTTGGGAAGTGCTTAAACCCTGA